GAAGAGAAATGCCCCCCGTGGCAAAAACACACCTGGCAAAGCACAGAGCTGAGACTCCAGACTGGCCGGGGCCTGAGCGGGATCCTTGGGTTTATGACACTTCCTGTGACAGAGGGCTCAGGGCCTTGTGCCACCCTGCCAGCCCCCACCCCCACCATCAAGCCCATCTGTAAGCAGGCTTTGTCACAGGCATGTTCTCTTTTCAACGGGGCTTGTGTTCTTAGGACCAAAATGATAAAGAATGCCTTAAGAGGGCACCGGGAACAGCAGAAAGACAAATAACTGTGCAAATCAAGATTTCAAGGGCCCAGACAGGAAACTGTGAAACCGATAAAGCTGGGGACAGGGTGGCATGGCACTACCATGGGCTCTCCTGGGTGCACGCAGATGGCATCGCCCACACGGACCTATCGCCAAGCCCACGTTTACAGGGTATCCTTTAAGAACGTAAGATCCCATCTAGGACACCAAAAAACACGGGAAAGTAGTTTTGCCAACTCAAGAAGGGGGAGAAAAACGGCCTTTCATTTTCTAGCCAACTCTGAGGGATTCCATCCATCCATTCAACAACTCACTCATATTTACTAATATCCAAGGGGAGTGGTGGCACACTGTGTGTGCATTCACTCAACACGTATTTATCAAGTTTCTCTCATGTAGCAGGCCCAGGCCCTGGAATGATACGGGGTGAGCAGAATGGACTCTGGAGTCTACCATTGGGGGCGGGGGAGACATTAATAAAATCATCAATTAATAAATTCAGAATTACAAAACCATGGAGAGGTGTTATGAGAGAGAATAGCTGGGGGATGTAATCCTTCCTGGGTCATCAGGGAGGGCTTCCCTGAGGAGGTGGTACTAAAGCTGAGACCAGAGGGAAGAGAAGAAACCACCCATAGGGGATCCAGGCAGAGGGAGCAGCAGAGCAGGCCTGAGACCCTGAGGGGGGAAAGAACATGGCCTGGTTAAGGGACTGAAAAGCGGTGGGCTGGCTGGCTGGCAGGGAACCGGCCAGGGGCAGCGGCATCGGGATGGAGACACAGGCCAGCCACCTTCACCGTGGGAAGGACAACAGAAGCCCCTGGTGGCAATGGTGACCTGGGGTTGAGCATAAGAATAACACCTGCTATGCATACTTTGAAAAGGTCACTTTGGCTACACGGTGTGGAGAAGCCAGAAAGGACATAGGGAAACCAGCAAGGAAGCTACCCCAAGAGTTCTTTATGCAGTACATTGTGGGGATGTGCTGATAGACCGGACATGGGGACGATGGAGACACGCTCAGATGGACACTGAGGCTCCGGCTGGAGGAACAGCCCAACGCTGAGGTGGGGAGGGGCAGCTAAGTGACCTGTGCCCAGGAGAGGCCTGCGAGGCAGCTGAGGAAAGGCAGCAGGCCTTGGGTGAGCACAGAGGTCAGAGCTCCAGGAGACGTGGAGGCTGCAGGTGGAGGTCGGGGACTAGGAGAAGACGGCTCACACACCTAACTGCCTCTGGCCTTTTTCCACCTAGACGTCTGGTCGTCTCAGAAACGGCAGCTCTGCGCTTCTGGTTGCTCGTGTGAAAACGGTGGGTTCCCCCTTGA